GGGCAGGTGGGGCCAGCCCGGGGGCTGGCCAGCCCGAGCTCCTTGGGCCACGGAGGCTTGGGGGACATGCCTGAGTCCCGGGGGCAAACCAGACGGGGTGGGGGCACCCGGGGCAGGCACAGACCCGCCGCGAGCGAATGGGGTTGGGCAGGACGCACTCAGACCCAGGGGAGTTGGGATCCTGCCGGGACAGGGATCCAGGAACCAGCACTGTCCCCCCGACACGGCTTCCTCTGAACGGACCGAGGGGGGATTGAACTTCTCCCGGCCCTGGGAACGAGCAGCCTAGTTATTACGCTGCCCCACCTGCGGGCAGGGGGCTGGACCAGACCAGCGGCGATGAAGGACCCGCCGGGGGGCGGCCCCAGGCCTGGAGGTCTCCCTGGGACTGTCTCAGGTGGCCGCAAGCCGGGCCGTGCTAGCCAACATCCTGGCTGGGCTGCCGCGGGAGGGCCCTCCCAGTCCTACCTGTCTTCCATCTAGACGGCAGAGGGAGCCGTTGTCTGGCTCTCAGGGAAACTGCTGCTGAAATGTGGCCATCCGCAGGCTCCCCCACCCAGGCCAGCCCCCCTGGACGCTGCCTCTCCCTTCCCCGGCCCTTCCCGGCGGCTGAGCCTCGTCTCTGCCCCGGGGTTCTCTCTCCCACGCCTCCGGGGGCTCCAGGAAGCGACGCTAACTCCAGATCAAGCCAGGAGGGCTCCCGCGTCGGGCGGAAAGGCCCCGTTGGGGTCTGCAGAGCCGCTGGTGACCCCTTTGGCGCACGAGCGCTGGCCTCCCCCACTGCAACTTGAGCCCACTGCTCCTCGTTCTGCCACCGGCCCCCACTGAGAACAGCCTCTCGCCAGCCTCTTTGGAACCTCCCTGCAGGAAGTTGAGGGCTGCTCTCAAATTCCCCTTAGATTTGCCAGGTGTCCAGTTCTGGCCTGGTATTTGCGGCTTCTGTCCGGTAAAAAAACCCAGAAACTATTGGAGATGTAAAATGTCTGTTTTTCTCGGACGCAAGGCCACTTGGGACATGGTTCCCCTGCTGTGTCTGGTGGGGGCAGGTGGAGCGTGGGGGTTTCAAGGCGGTGTGATTCTTTTTTTACATAAGAACATAAGAACAGCCGTACTGGGTCAGACCAAAGGTCCATCTAGCCCAGTATCCTGTCTGCCGACAGTGGCCAGCACCAGGTGCCCCAGAGAGGGTGGTCCGAAGACAATGATCAAGTGATTTGTCTCCTGCCATCCTTCTCCAGCCTCTGACAAACAGAGGCCAAGGACACCATTTTATCCCCTGGCTAATAGCCTTTTATGGACCTAACCTCCATGAAATTATCTCGCTTCTCTTAAACTCTATTATAGTCCTAGCCTTCACAGCCTCCTCTGGCAAGGAGACGGCGCGTTGGGGGTTCCCCGTCTCCTGCACCCCGAAATGGCACAAACAGACTGCACCAGCCAGTGGAATTGAGGGTGGTTTATTGCTCCTCCAGCACAGCGCAGCACAGATGTAATCTGGTTACAGGAACTGGGCTAGGATGCCTCAGGCCCCCTTGAGATGGGGGAGACTGGGCCCCTAAACTCCAGCCCCTTCCCCTAGGCTCTCCTCCATGCTCTTCCACAGTCTAACTAAATTCCCCTCCAGCCCTGCCCCCGCAGTCAGGGCAGCATTCCACCTTCCTTTGTTCCTCTCCATGGGGGGTGTCTGGCCACTGGTTCAACCAGTTTGGCCTTATCTCTGCCTAGCCAGGTTTTCCCTGCTGGGTCTTGCTCCAGACAGCAGGGGTCACCACAGCCCAGCAATTACCCCCACTACGTCACAAACCCTACTCACGCTTCTCTTCTGCAGACTAAACAAGCCCAAGTCGCTCAGCCTCTCCTCGCAGGTCATGTGCTCCCGCCCCCGAATCATTTTGGTTGCCCTCCGCTGGACCCTCTCCAAGGCGCCACGTCCTTTCTGTAGTGGGGGGCCCAGAACTGGACACAACACTCCAGATGTGGCCTCACCAGAGCCGAATACGAAGTCGACAGGGGTAAGGTGCCAGCTCTCTGACCGCATGCTGTGGTCCCCTTGCTCTCAGAGCCGAGAGAGGCTGTGACAAGAGCTAGGCAGCAGTGCCAATCCCTGAAACCCAAACTGACTGGGTGGGGGTGGGGGGAGTCAGGCCCATGTCCTGCTTCAAAAACCTGTTGAGAAAAGCAGTTTGGAAAACAAAACCCGGCCCCGTCTTGCCACGTGGGCGGCAACCACGTTGCGTTTTTCAGGCTGGCACAACGTTTCCTGTGGGAATTGGTTTGAAAACATCGTAAGCGGGCAAAACTCAAAAGGGAACTCAATGGAGAGGGTCCAGCCCAGGGCAACGAAAGTGATGCAAGGGCTGGAGCACATGACCTACGAGGAGAGGCTGAGGGATTTGGGTCTGTTTAGTCTGCGGAAGAGAAGAGTGAGGGGGGATCTGAGAGCAGCCTTCAACTTCCTGAAGGGAGGTTCCAAAGAGGATGGAGAGAGGCTGTTCTCAGTGGTGGCAGATGGCAGAACAAGGAGCAATGGGCTCAAGTTGCAGAGGGGGAGGTCTAGGTTGGATATTAGGAAAAACTATTTCACTAGGAGGGTGGGGAAGCCCTGGGCTGGGTTCCCTAGGGAGGGGGTGGAATCTCCATCCCTAGAGGTGTGTAAGTCCTGGCTTGACAGAGCCCTGGCTGGGTTGATTGAGTTGGGATTGGTCCTGCCTTGGGCAGGGGCTGAACTGGGTGACTCCTGAGGTCTCCTCCAGCTCTGGGATCCACGAAAGGGAACATTTCAAAATTAACTGCGTGGAACCTTTCCAGCGGCCCAGCACGCAGATCTGAGGGGGGGGGGCATGAACATTTTTTGAGCTTTTGATTTTTCACCCTGATTTGAAACAAATGTCAAAATCTCAGAAATTCACCCAGGCCGGGAACCTGCTTCCTGGCCAGCTCTCTGCAGGGTGCAAAGCCCGGTGTGTCTCGATGCATTGTGTGCTTCCCCCTTCGCCAGGGCACATGGGCACAAGAGCCAGTGCGGAGAGA